TGTTTTGGGGTGGGGAGTACGGGGTCCTCTCTCATGTTATTTTGGGGGTTCCGTGGGTCCCGGAGGTGTTTTGGGGGGGTCCCGTCTCACTGTCCTTCCCCGTGTGGTGCCCCAGACGTGGACGAGTGCGCGGGGGAGGGGCCGCCCCCGTGCCGGGGCTCCATGAAGTGCCTGAACCATTTTGGGGGGTACCTGTGCCTGCCCCGCTCGGCCGCGCTGCTCAGCCCCGGCCTCGGCCCCGCCCCGGCCCCGCCCCCTCCGCACGCCCCGCCCCTGTCCCGCCCGGCCCCGCCCCCCGATGGCCGCTGCCCTCCCGGGTTCGGTCCCGCCCCCGACGGCACCTGCGCAGGTGAGCGAGGGGCGAGGGGTTTGGGATGGGCGGGGCGGCGGACCGGACCGCGAGGAGGGGCGTGGTTATAAAATGGAAATTGGAGGCGGGGCTGTGGAAAGGGGCGGGATCAAGCGTGTAGTGAGAGTGGCCAAGGGACGGAACCTGGACGGTGTGGGTTGTGTGTATGTGGACGGGGCTCAGGTGCTTCAGGGCGGGTTTAGGGCGTGGTCTGGGAGGGTGGGGCCGCCCCAGGGGCGTTTCTCGGCAGTGGGGTGGGGGCGCTAATTTCGGGGGCGGGGTCCCTGCAGGGGTACGGAGGTGCCCCCGCRATGGACGGTCAGTCGGGAGGGGTTCCTGGTGGTTTTCCCCATCCTGTGTCGCCCCCAGACGTGGACGAGTGCGCGGGGCCCCCCCCGTGCCGGCCCAGCCAGGACTGCATCAACCTCCCGGGGGGCTTCGAGTGCCGCTGCCCCCCCGGCTACCGTCACCGGCACACCGAGTGCGTGGGTCAGTACCGGGGGGTCCGGGGAAGGGTTGCGGTTTACGAGAATGGGGGGAGGATTTGGGGCTAGCCCCCCCCCCCGTGGGGGGGGCTTTAGGGGAAATAACGGGGGGATTTGGGGGTCTATGGCAGGATTTTTTGGCATTTGGGGTAAAGAGGGCTGTGGAGCTCTATGGGGTAGATCTGGAGCTCAAGGGGATTTATGGGTTGTTTTGGGGTATTTTTGGGTGCTTCTGGTGCAAGATGAGGACGAGTGCCAGTTCCGCTGGTGCCAGCACAGCTGCGCCAACTCCCCCGGAGCCTTCGCTTGTCGCTGCCACGCCGGGTTCAGCCTCGGCCCGGACGGCCGCTCCTGCCTCGGTCAGAGCCCCCCCAAACCACTCTGATCCCGCGGGGCACCCCTCGGTGTGGAGCGGGAAGGCTTCCCTTGCTCTCATGGGGCCCTGGAGGGTCGAGGGGATGTGACACTCCCCGAGACCCTTCCCGAAGCCCCTCCTGCGCCCCCAGACGTGGACGAGTGCTCCATGGGCGCCCGGTGCTCCCAGCGCTGCCTGAACACCTTCGGCTCCTTCCGCTGCCGCTGCCGCCCCGGCTTCGTGCTGGGCGCCGACGGGCACGAGTGCCACGGTGAGGGCCGCCCCCGGGACACGCCCATCCCGCTGGAGGGACACGCCCATCCCGCTGGAGGGACACGCCCATCCCGCTGGAGGGACACGCCCACCCGCTGGAGGGACACGCCCACCCGCTGCAGACACGCCCACAGAGGGTCTGCCTCCCCCGGCTGACGGTGGGGTCTCACTGCGGGGTCTCACGGGGGTCTCTCTGTCCCCCCTGCCCTCTGGGGGTCTCCCAGATGTGGACGAGTGCCAGGGGAATGTCCCATGCCAGCACCGCTGCCAGAACCTCCCCGGGGGCTTCAGCTGCCTCTGCCCCCCCGGGTACAGCGAGCAGGACGGGCTCTGCCGCGGTACGAGGGGCCGGGGAAGGCGCTGGGGGGCTTGAGGGGCGGTTTGGGGGTTGTGGGGTGGTTTGAGGAGCGCTGGGGAGGAGGAGCTGTGGGGCTGAGGAGTGCTGAGGAGTGGGGCGTTGTGGGGCTATGGGGTGTTTTCGGGTGCTTTGGAGGGGCTGTGGGGAGGTTTACGGGGTGTCTGTGGAGTACTTTGGGGGCTGAGGGGACTGCAGGCCAGCACGGGAGCCCTTGGTGCTGGCTAGGGGGACTTTGGGGGCCGTGTGGAGGCTGGAGGAGCTCTGGGGATGATTTGGGGGGCTCTGGGGGATTTTGGGCTCTGCTGTGAGTGGGGGGGGGAGGCTGTGAGCCACTGGGGGGGCTCAGCCTCCCCAAAAACTCCTCCCCCCTTCCCCTCCAGACCAGGACGAGTGCACCGAGGGCTCCCACGGCTGTGGGGGGGCCCAGAGCTGCCTTAACACTTTTGGGGGGCATCTCTGTGTCCCCCGCCAGCTCTGCCGGGGACCMTACACCCCGCACTCCCGCAGCAACGGGTATGGACTCCCCCCGTGCACCCCAAAATCCCAGGGAGAGGACCCGACCCCTGTGCAGACTACCAAAATCTGGGGCAGGCTCCTCCTTACCCCCATCAGGTCACCCCTGGGGGGATCCCTGTAACCCCACTGGGGGACCCTCAAGATCTGAGGGGAGTTCTTGGGGGCCCGGGGGGCGTTTCCCAGATGGGGACACCCCACTCGATGCCCCTTTCTTGGCCCCCAGGACCTGCGTGTGCCCCAGGGCGGTCCCTGGCTGCGCCCCCCGCCCCCATTGGCTCCTCCATCGTTTCCTGACCATTCCCGAAATTTCCGATGTTCCCACTGGGATTTTCCAGCTCCAGCACCCCCCGGGGGACCCCCRAAGGCTGCGGCTGCGGGGGGGGCCCCCCGGCACCTTCCGCCTGCGGGTACCGAGGACCAGGGAGGGGTGGAGGTGGAGGGGCTGCAGTGGGGCTCAACAGAAATTTTGGGGCTCGGAGGCATTCAGGGCGTGGCTAAAGGGTAATTTGGAGTGTCTGGGGCAGTTTTGAGGCATTCTGAGGTATTTTTGGGGGGTCTAGAGGGCAGTGGGGGAATGTTAAGGGGGATTATGGGATCTGTTGGGTTGTTTGGGGCCAGGGGGTGGTGTGTGGTCTCTGCGGTGCCTCTTGTTGTTTTGGGGAGGTGTTTACGGCACTTTGGGGGGGTTCAGTGGGAATTTGGGTGTTCCGGGGGGTGGTGTTGGGATCTGTGACTCCGCCCCCTCTGCAGGTGCTGACCAATCACAGCTCGCTGCTGGAACTCGCCCGCCCCTTGGCGGGGCCGCAGCAGCTGCTGCTGGAGGTGGAGCTGCTGCCGCTGGGGCCCCGCCCTCCACCCTCTGCCCCTCCCACACCCGCCGAGACCCCGCCCCCCAGCCCCTGGGACCCGCCCCCGCCGGGTGGGCGCAGCCTGGCCTTACTCCGCCTCCACCTGTCAGTGGGGGCCCACCCATTCTAGGGCCGCGGACACCCCCAGACTTCCGTGGGACCGACAAAAACTCCAGCAGGAGCCCCCCAAGCCCTCCCAATACCCTCAACCGTGCCCTGGGCCCTCCAAACCCACTCCGAACCCTCCAAAACTCTCTCAGGATCCTCAGTTTCCCCCTGTGTCTTTACAACAGTTCCCAGAAACCCCTGAAAAAACCCCTCCCCCAAGCCCCTCTGGGACCACCCCAAAACCTCCTTGGGACAACCCTCACCCCACGTGGGACCTCAAAATTTCCCCCCTGGGAACCCCCAAACAATCCCCAGGACTCCCCAAAGAGCCCCTGGGACCTCCAATTTGGGGGCAAAGAATGAACTTGTTGGTGCTGATCAGTTCAGAGTGGTGGGAACTGGGATGGATTGTGAAGGACTGGGAAGCTTTTGAGGGCATTGGGGACACTGGGAGGGAACTGGCAAGAACTGGTACCCCCAAGAATCGCGTGGACACTTCCACCTCTCTCTCCAAAAKGAGGCGCCATTTATTTGCCACGCCCCATGGAGCCCACGCCCCCCGCCAGGCTCCGCCCTTTGGGGCGTGGTCAGTGCCCCACCCGCACGTGGGGGTTGTTGAGCGGCTCGAGGGCGGGGTCGGTGTCGGCCCCGCCCCTKCCCAGGCTGCCCAATAGCAGCAGCAGCAGCGCGAAGGCCGCGGCCCCGCCCAGGCACAGCGCCAGCAGGGGGCGCCGCGGGACCCCGCGTATGCGGCACCTGCGGGGGGAGGGGTGAGAGGGGAGACCTCCAGTGACCCCCAAAGKGACMCCCAAAGGGACCCCGAGTGACCCCCTAAGCTCCCCCCGGGCCCCCAAACATGACCCCCCAYCACCTTGACCCCAAGTGACCTCCCCAAAGTGCCCCGCAGGGTCCCCCACAAAATGGTCCCCACAAAGTGACCCCGAGTGAGCCCCCAAAGTGTCCCCTGTGTCCCCCAACTGACTGCCAAAAGAGACCCCCTCCGAAGGACTCCCAAAATGCCCCCCCGACACCCAAATTTCCCCCAGTGTCCCCCCGGTCCCACACCGCACCTGAACTTGGGGGGCATCCATGCCAGGGGCCGGCGCCGGTATTTGTCCTCGTCCCGGTCGGGGGGGCTCCAGGTCTCGCGCCCCCCCAGGGGCTTGCGAGGGGCGGAGCCTGCGGGAGGGGAGCACAGGGACCCTGAAACTCCACTCTGCCCCATGGTGGGGTCCCCAAGCCCCCAGCTCCATAATGCTGCCCCCCCAAGGCTCTCCAGCCCTATGAGGACACCCCAAATCCCATCCCCTCTCCTGGGAGGGGCGGGTCTTTTCCTCCCAGACTCACCTGGGTGCAGGGTTGGGGTCTCCCCGCCCATGTGGACGACGGCGTGGGGTTGGGGAGGACTCGGGGGGGGCTCCGGGGGGGTGATGGGAGCTGTGGGGACAGAACTGGGGGTTGGGGGGGCCCTGGGGTGCTCGAGGTGGGTTGGGGTGTCCCCAGGGCAGGACTTAGGGTGTCTCAAGGGTTTGGGGTGTGGCAGAATAGATTTGGGGGGGGGTTTAGGGGTCCCAGGGAGATTTGAGTGTCTCAGATGGGGCTCAAGTGAGTGCTGGGGCTCCAGGGTGGATTTTGGGGGTYCTGGAAGGGTTTTTGGGGGGCCCCCCCAGGGTCAGGGTTCCCAGGGGAAGTCTCAGTTGGGCTATGGAGTCCTAGGGGATGTTTTAGGGTGTCCTGGGAAGGGTTTGAGGGTCCCAGGAGGTTTAAAGTGTCCTGGGAGAGTTTTTGCAAGTTCCAGGAAGGTTTCTAGGAGCCCTGAGGTGGTTCAGGTTCCTGGATAGAAGATGGAAGGGGTCCGGAGGGGGTTAGGGAGGTCCCAGGTATGTTTTTGGGGGCCCTGTGGGTGTTTTTGGGGGGTCACTCCGCACCATCCCAGCCCCCGTCTGGCTCCTGGGTGGTCTCAGGCTCTGGCGGCTCCTCCAAATCCTCGATCTAGAGTGAGTTTGGGGTATTTTAGGGCATTTTAGGGTATTTCAGGGCATTTTGGGGCACTTTAGGGTGTWTTTAGGGTATTTTGGGTACTCACCAGTGGCAGCCCCAGCCCGGGCCGCGCCCAGGGCGCCGTCCGGAGCCGTGCCCGGAGTGCCTCGGCCACAGGGCCCTCCAGGTTGGGGGGGGGGAACAGGGGTCCCCCGCACTGGGGGCAGCGGTGCCCGGCGGGGGCTGTGCGGGGGGGCAGCGCCCGAGCCCACCCCGCCAGGCACGGCCAGTGGAACACATCTGGGGGGGGCATGGGTGGTTAATGGGACCCCAAAACCCACCAGCGAGGGTCCCGGGAGACATCTTGGGGTCCCAGGGGATTCTCCAGGGTGGGTTTGGGGGGCCCAGAGGGAGGCACTGGGTGGTTTGGAGGTGCCTGGGGATGTCCCAAACACCCTCCACCCCGTCTGCCAACGCCCCCCAGCTCCCTTCTGACCCCGCAAAAGCCATTTTATACCCCACCAGTCCTCCTAAAACTCACTGTTAAGGCTCCCCAATCCCCCCACACCACCCCAAAGTCCATTTCGAGCCCCCCCCAACTTCCCACTCAAAGGCAGTGTCTGGGTCCCCTACCTCCCTTAAAACCACTTCAGTGGTGCCAGGACTGAGTTTCAAATTTCCCCTGTCCCCCAAAAGTCTCTTTTAAGCACCCCCGGCTCCCCGGCAAGTTCATTTCACGCCCTCCGAACGCCCTCAAGCGCGGTTCAGGGATCCCCCCCAGCCCCCGGTGCCCCCTCCCACCGTAACAGACGAGCCGCACGGTCTCACGCTCGCCCAGGGGGGCTTCGCAGAGGGGGCACTGGGGGCTGTAATCGCTGTCCTGCAGCCACTGCAGGTACGACCTCACGATGCACTGCGAGGGCAAGGGGGTTCAGGGGTTATCGAGGGTCCCCGGGGGAGTTTTGGGGACCCCCAGCCTTCAGCGGAGCCCCGGCGGACCTTGGGGTGGGCGCTGACCAGGCAGCTCTCGCAGACGTTCACGCGGTGCTCGAAGCAGAACAGCGTCGTCACCCGGCGCTTGGGACACTTGCACAGGCCCATGGCGGGGCTGGAGGGGCGCCGAGGGGGCCATGGAGGGGAAGGAAGAATCCCCCCAAAAATCCCGGGGGGTGGGACCTCCTCCCGTGGCCCCGAAGTGAAGGGGACGCTTCCCACCCTCCCCGGGCTGGGAGTKGGGAGGACCCCACAGATGCCCTCCGCAACATACGTAGGGATTTGGGATCCCCCCTCCCYCTCAAAATACTCCTGGGAGACCTACCACGGGAACCCCTGGAATTTGGGTGGCCTCAGGGGTCCTGGGTCCCCCTCCTTGCCCCGAGAAGATCCAGGACCCCCTTGGCCCTCCTCAGAAGAAGCTTCCGAAGTCCGGGACCCCCTGGCCTCTCCTCAAGATCCCCTGGACACTCAGCGGGACCACCTGGGTCCGCCCCSAGCTCCTGGGAGCCCCAAGCCCCCGCCAGACTTCCCCTCCAGCTCCTCAGGACCCCACTTCGTCCCCTGTCCTAAACGAGCCCCCGGTGTCCACGGCCACTCCGGACTCCCCAGGAAACCTCCGGGACTCCCCAGAAGCCACCAAGCACCCAAAAGACGCCAACGGGACACACCGAAACGCGCAGCCAGGACTCCCCCGGACCCCYCGAGACCCTCCAGGATCCCCTCTGGACGCCCTCGGAGCCCCCGCAGAGCCAAAATCCTGCCCCGAAATCCTGCCCCAGCCCCCCGCCGCCCCCCACTCACACGTTCCTATGGCGACGCGCTGCCCCGCTGGCGCTTCCGGGTGCGTCTCCTCTTGATTGCGTCTCTTCCCGCCGATCTCCCCGGAAGTGCGGCCCATTCCGACACAGCCGCCACACCCAAGATGGCGGCCGGGTCACCGCCCACCGCGTTCCCGCGCGGCGCGGAGCGATGACGTCACAGCCGTCTGTTCGAATGGCCATGGCGGGAGTCCGCGGCGGCCGCCGTTCGGCGGGGGCGACCCCGAGGGGTGAGGAGGGGTCTGGGGGTGTCCGGGAGAGTCCTGGGGGCTTGGGGTCTGGGGAAGCTCCTGTGGGAGGGTTCATGGGCGGCATTTGGAGCTGCGGTGGTCCTGGGGGGCGTCTATGGAAGAGCTGTGGGGAGGGGGCGGGGCTGTGGGTCTGGGGGCGGGGTCTGAGCGGGCCTGCTGGGGGGCTCCATTGTGGCCGGGTGCGTCTAGGAGGGGACCGGGGGGGTTCCAGGGGATCCCGGCTGGGGCCGCATGTGTTCGTGGCGTGGGGTGGCCTGGAAGGGCTGTGTGGGGGGCCGTGGGGTGGGCGCGTCCGTTTTGGGGCTGTGGGGAGGATTTGTGGTGTCCCTGGCGGATTTCTGGGATAACTGCGGAGGTTTCTGAGGCCATGCAAGAGTCGGGAGGAGTCCCGGGGGGCTGTTGGAGGTCAGGACCCCCATCTCCTCCTACAGTGACGCGACGCAGCTCCAAGCGCTTGGTGGTCTCAGCCCCCCGGGGGGGCCCCCCCTGGGCAGTGCCGTCCCGCAGCCCTCTGGGCAGCCCCGTGAGTGGGGGTCTCTGCAGGAGATTCGGGGAGCTTGGGGGTGGTTCAGGGGGTCGGGGGCTCACCGAGGGGTTTGGGGACGGTCCCAGGGGGTTTTGGAGGTGGTCAGAGGTTGAAGGCTCTCAGGAGCTTAAAGGGTTCCAGGAGCTCGGGGGAGGTTCCGGGGGCTGTCGGGTGTTGCACAGGGTTTTGAGGGGGTCCTGAGGAGTGTTCCAGGACCCCCAGGGTTTCGGGGGTCTCGGAGTTGTGGGGGCAACAGGAGCACTGGGGAGAGTTCTCAGTTTTGGGGTTCACAGACCCCTCCCCCGCAGGATCTTGACCAACCCCGAAGGAGCGCTCGGGTGAGTTGGGGAAGGGAGAGGAGGCTGGTGGGGAGAGGGGGTCCCTTATAATCTGGGGATCCCTCTGCCCTCCCATCTCCCAAATTCTCACACCCCCAACTCTCTCCAACAGCTCCAGAGCCAGAAGGAGAACGACCCCTCTCCCCC